CTGCTGATGCTGCAAATAAAAGGAAAATCAAAGCAGATTTTCATGCTTACTGGGTAGAGTATAAAAGATCAGATTTTGACAATCAGAAAGGACAAATCACTCTGAATTGTAAAAAAATCTCTTACCCAAAATGCATCATGGACATCAAAACAATCACTCAGCTCGTTGTGCTTCCTACAGCCATAGCCACCAAAATATATGAGCCTAAAAGAATAACAGCAAAAAATAAGCTCTTTTAAAAGTAACATTCAAAGCTGTAATAATTGCTTTCAAATTTTGGTTCATCTACTGCACTACTAATAATACAAACACCTTAAATATTTCATTTTGCATCCAAACACACAGGAAATGTTCCTGAGAGGAAGACAATAGTTACACAAGCCTGGCAGAAATCTAGAGACAAGGAAGGAGGCCCAAGGTACCTCCAAGTCCCTATTCCCTGTTCCTCCATTTATCACAGTCACATCTGCAATTTTCAGTGTTTGTATGCTACTGAAATCCTTGGAAATACACTACATATATTTTATTGCAGGCAATAATTTATGCTTACACACAAAAAAATTCCAAGTAATTTTATACTTATTTTTAAGGTATTAAAATTAGAGCCATACATAACAGATGCTTTTTTTTTTTTTTTCTGAAGTCTCAAAGCATTCCAGAAACAACTTCTAAATTTCCCAACCCTCTACTACAGGGGCTTTATACTGACCATTAATTCAGCTCACATGTGACAAAACTCTGTTAGAAAGTTGTCAGGAGAGCTACATAAAACCCCACAGCAAGTCAAGCTAAGAATTAGTTTCATGAATCCCAGACCTGTGTTTCCTTCACTTCATAACATTTCCTCTCTGCAATTAACACGTAATTAATATTCTCAAGTTGTTACCTGTCCTTATACACCCAGCAGGAAAGCTTGTCACGTGGTGTAGGAGGTTGACCTTTAAAGTTTGTGATTTTTTTCCACCTGTAGGTTCCATTTTTTGTTCGCAAATTAACATAATACAGCTTAAAAGAAATAAAAAAATTACAGTATTTTCAGTATAAATGATGAAGAATCCAGCATAAATTGCCAACAGAAAGAACAACCCACCACCCTCAGAACATACCCCTTTCTTTGAAAAACAAACCCCAAACCCATGACATTGACAGAACACAGCAACACACAGGAAGAGCCCAACACACCCCAGAACAGTTACAGGGTGAGAATGAGCACTTTTCTTGCCTCCACTCAGCCAGACCAAAACATTAAAATCCTGCTCCTTCCATTGCCACCTGAATCCTTGCAAAAACCTTCTGCAAAACAAACAGCTCCCCAGTTCAATTCTACTGGCAGAACCAGCAGCATTTCTGCCCACCCCAACAAGGCTTGTCAACTGAGCAGTGAACTGAGATGTGCTGATGGGCTGCACTTCAGTTAATTTCTATTCAAGGCTGAATTCTGACTCCATTTACACCAAGTGCTAAACCAGCTCATTTCCTCTGTTTTGCTACTCCAGTCTTCAGTTCTAAGCAAAACTGGCAGCTATATCTTAACTTCAATTATTGCCTGATTATATTTCTTATATAATCAAAATCAAAGAGCAAAAATAAGAGATATTCTGATCAATTTCAATTATGGCTACTAATATTCTTTTTTTTTTAAATACGCATTTGGGAAAGCACTGGCAGTTTTCAGACATAAATACAGGAAGTTTCACACAGCAAGTCTTATTCTGGAACTGTTGTGACTCAGTGAAAAATCCCAGGAAAATATAAAGAGTTGAACATTAAAACAAAAACTGAAGTTTTTTGTCAGTTTAAAGTAATACCTTTTCTACAAAGATAAAGCTTTTCCTTACACTTCTCCTTACTCCAAATGCAAAGTACAGCAGACAAAACAGTGAGGTCAGCATTATTATTCACTCAAGCACAATAGGTTATGAAAGAAAAGAACACAATACCCGATTACTGTATCCTTTATCATCAAATCCACCAAAAATGTACAGCTTCCCATTCATGCTTGCCCCACAGCTTCCTGACATGGAGGTAGGCAATTCCCCTTCCATTAAGTGCATTGTCCTGCAATTTAGCACATACATTAAGATTTTGAAGGATGCTTTCAAACCTCTTAAAATTAACAAACGCAAAACAGATGTATTAATAATTTTTATACTTAAACCTAAAAACACAGCTGAAATGTTTTGGCCATAACTGGCAGTAGAAGCTACGGCTGATAAACAAAGTCAGGCTCCTGTGGTGTCAGAGTCCTTTCATGTGAATGTTGTGCACCTGTTTATGAAGCATCTCAATTTTTATGAAGGTAAAACCCATATTCAATAAGCATTAATAGAGCTGAAAGATTATTCCAAACCTGGAAATACTATTAACTCCAAAACCTCCTGAAATGAGAACATGGCATTGCTATTTACTTAGAAAACTAAGGCAGAAGTAGAAATAAAGGTCAAAAGTATTTACTAGTTCTGGTACCCAGTATCCCAATCCTAAAACTGCATTTAGCACAATGAGAAATCCTCAATAATGCCAATTTTAACAATGAATTCTCTCTTCTTCAGCAGCAGTTCCTTGCCTTTTTCTTGCTAGTATCACTTACAAACCAGTAACATCCTGTGGTGCACATTTTAACATCCCACAATCACCTGACCAAACTCATTTTCTGCCCAACTCTCCCAGGTGAGCATAGAATCAATCACAGAATGGTTTGGGTTGGAAGCCACCTAGAAGATCGCCTAGTTCAACCCCCCCTGCCATGGGCAGGGGCACCTTCCCCTAGACCAGGTTGCTCAGAGCCCCATGCAACCTGGTCTTGAGCACCTCCAGAGAGGGAACATACACAACCCCCCTGGGCAACCTGTTCCAGTGTCTCACCACTCTAACAGTAAAGAAGTTCTTCCTAACATCTAAGCTAAATCTACCCTCTTCCAGTTTAAAAGCATTAGCCCTTGACCTCTCACTACACACCCTGGTAAAATCAGCACCAGGCCCAACCTGTGCTTAGAATTGTTTCCTCACATTTGAAAACAGCTCTTCTGGGATCTCAGATTTCTGCAGAAGACAGGTACAACTGTCTGTGCTGAAAACTGAATGAGATCAAGAACAAATCCAGGGTAAAAATAAACAGATCCAAAAAAAGAAAAGTTCTGCTTAACCCAGATCACTCTCCTGATCTAATTCCCTGTGTGACCATAAAGAGCTGCACCAGTACAAACGACACAGGGACACAAGGGATGACAACCAAGAGAGAGGATGAGCCTCCTTTAGCCAAGCCTTTCACCAAAAGAAACAGATGGAGACCACAGTGAGGTGGGTGAGGGCACAATCAAAAAAAATATCCTAAGAAAGAAACAGAAAAAAGACTGGCTAGAACTTTCCAGCAAACTGTATGCAAGCAGGTGTTTTCAAGTGACTTGACCACACAGATGTGGAACTATACACACACTGTCAGACACCTTCCTGATCTTGCCCTCCTCCCCCTTTCCTCCCAAACTGTGGGGCTCAATATGAGTGTGCAGTGAATCTCCCAAACAGGTGTATGCAAGAAGTGTATGAACAGGTGCTAGACGAGGTAGACAGCTGGCAGGAAACACATATAAGCCTCAACAGATACCACTTTAGGAGCCTGAATGGAATTACTGTAACAGAAATCACTGGAGAACTTTTCAAAGAGGCACTGTTACCTCTCCCCAAGTAGGATATGTAAACACAGTGAATATAAAATGTAAAGATTCAATTGCTGGTGATGTGCAAGGTCTGCTTAGTTATGAGTTATTTACGCAAATACATTCAGAACACAAGTCATAACAAAAACAATAATTGTAAACAGATCAAGAACCCAAATATCTAGTGTTTCAATACTCTTTTAAACATAAAAGTTAATATATGGAGAACCAAGCCAAAACAAATGCCTCAATAAAACACATCAGAGCTCACAACAGAGCCCTAAGCCAACCATTTCAAACACACTCCTGAAAAAAAAAACACCACAATTACACTTAAGGAATTGATGTGTTTCCTAGAGTTAATTTGCAAGTACTTATATTTGTTCTTCAGTCTTTACATCAAATATCTGCTATTTGAACTGCAGGGAACATGACCAAGAACTCCCATAACTGAAGTCTTTTCACTGCAGCTAATTGTAATCTATGCAAATATGAACTTTATACATTTAACTACATATAAATGATGCAACTTACCATAACCCACTGTCTATTTCATAGATCCAGAGCTCATCATTAGGCAGGTAAACTTCATTTTCTTCAATTGACTAAAACAAAAAAAAATTGCAAATGTTAAATAAATTCTGTATTATACATCATACGTTACTTCACAACATGGAATAATTTTAAAGAGATAATCTACCAGAGAGTAAGTCATACCCCAGCACTATTGTTCTGGTCATTAAAATTTTAAGCAGGCAGCTCAATAATGCTGGCATTTTACATTTTATACTAAAAGCTAAAAAAAAGATGCTTTTCATTTTTTGATGTTATTATAAATATTTTCCTGGATATTTTCTGATGTCATTGAGCTTTGTGGGTTGTTAATAATATCTCTAATCACTCATTTTAAGGTGTGAAGATTATAAAAAGAACATGGTGTTTCAGAGGTAGGGAGAGAAGTGTTTCAATATTCAAAAAGGAATATTAGTGTCATACAATAGCCATTTTATAAAGGTAAGAAAATAGCACAGGAGAATAATTCATTAGGAAACATATGCAACTGCTACTAACAAGCAGCACGACAGCACCACGACATAGAATCACAGCATGGTTCAGGTTGGAAGGGACCTTAAAGCTCATCAGGTCCAACCCCACTGCCATGAGCAGGGACACCTCCCACCGACCAGGCTGCACAAGGCTCATCCAACCTGGCCTTCGACACCTCCAGGGATGGGGCATCAGCAACCTCCCTGGGCAACCTGTTCCAGTGCCTTCCTACCCTCATGGTGAAGAATTTCTCCCTGATGTTTGACCTAAATGTCCCCTCTTTCAGTTCAAAACCATTATGCCCTCTCTGGTGATAAGCCCATCCCCAGCCTTCCCAAAGCCCTCCAGGTACTAGAAGGTGCCCCAACTCCCTCAGCCTGTCTTCACACCAGAGAGGCTCCAGCCCTTTGATCATCTTCGTGGCCCTTCTCTGGACCCTCTCCAACATCTCCATGTCTCTCCTGTGCTGAGAGCTCCAGAGCTGGACACAACACTCCAGGTGGGGTCCCACCAGAGCAGAGTAGAGGGGCAGAATTACCTCCCTGGCCCTGCTGGCCACACTTCTTTTGATGCAGCCCAGGACACAATTGGCTCTCTAGGCTCCAGCGCTCACTGGCAGCTCATATCACACTTCTCATCTCCTCCACCCCAAAGTCCTTCTCCTCAGGACTTCTCTCCAGCCATTCTCCCCTCAGCCTGTATTTGTGCCTGGGGTTGTGCCAACCCAGGTGCAGGATCTTGCACTTGGCCTTGTTGGGACTTCATGAGGTTGGCACTGGCCCACCCCTCCAGCCTGCCAAGGTCCCTCTGGATGGCATCCCTTCCCTCTAGAGTGTCAACCACACCACACAGCTTGGTATCATCAGCAAACTTGCTGAGGATACACTCAATCCCACTGTCCATGTCTCCAACAAAGATGTTAAACAGCACTGGTCCCAATACTGACCCCTGAGAAACACCACTCATCACTTGCCTCTACTTGGACACTGAACCATTGACCACAACTCTCTGGATGTGGCCATCCAGCCAATTACCAATCCACCAAGTGGTCCATCTGTCAAATCCATGTCTTATCAGTTTGGAGACCAGGATGCTGTGCAGGACAGTGTCAAATGCCTTGCACAAATCCAGGTAGATTACATCAGTTGCTCTGCCATTATCGACCATCTCCATAGCCTTGTCATAGAAGACCACCCAATTGGTCAGGCATGACTTGCCCTTAGTGAAGCCATGGTGGCTGTCACAAAACACCTTCTTATTTTCCATGTGCCTTGGTAGATTTTCCTGGAGGATCTGTTCCATGATCTTGCTGGGCACAGAGGTGACAGTGACTTGCCTGTAGTTCTCTGGGTCTTCCTTTTTCCCCTTTTTAAAAACAGGGGCTATGTCCTCTTTTTTCCAGTCAGCACAAAACTCCCCAGACTGCCATGACTTCTTAAATATCATGGACAGAGGCTCAGCAACTGCATCTACCCGTTCCCTCAGGACCTGTGTATGGACACCACCAGGTGCACAGACTTGTGCACCTTCAGGTTCTTTAGATGGTCACAAACCTGTTCTTCTCCTACAGCAGGGGATGCTTTGTTCTCCCAGTCCCTGTTTTCCTGTTGTGGCCTTTGTAATGGGAATGGAGCACTTGCTAGAGAAGACTCATGCAAAGAAGCCCATGAGAGCCTCAGCCTTCTCAATATCCTGTGTAGCTAGGTCTCCCATTTCCTTCAGGAGAGTGCCTACATTTTCCTTGGCTGTCCTTTTATCCCCAACATACCTATAGATGCTTTTCTTAGCACTGCTTACATCCCTGGCAAGATTTCATTCCATCTGGGATTTGGCTCTCCTGACCTGATCCCTTCCTGCTTGGACAACCTCCCTGTAATCCTCTCAGGGTACCTGCCCGAGCTTCCACCCTCTGTATGCTTCCTTCTTAAGTTTGAGCTCTTCTAGGAGCTGCTTGCTCAACCACATCAGTTATAAAGGAGAAAATTAATTCCTCTGTGTAAAACAGACCTATGAAGACTCCCAGAGTCCATGTAAGAAAGAAAAATAGTTTGGGAAATAATTATGAGGAAGAATAACAAGCAGGAGATGGAAGCTCAAAAGAACGTAATTGCAGCACTCAGGCTGGGTAACAATTACACCATTAATTATTGTCTTAACATTAGAAAGAAATGCAAGACTGTGAGGGAATAAACAGCCAGAATCAACAATTAAAAAAAAACCAAACACTTTAAAAGTAGCTCAAAATTAAATAAATGTGAGGAACAAGCGTTAAATGCAAAACTGAAATTTAATTATTAACAATTTACTTACTGATATTGATTACCTGACTTCAAATTATACTTTATTATTACCATCTCAATTTGAAAGCTGCCAACCAGACATCACCCACTATGTTTGGTACAGTTTATCCTGCCAGGCACCTTTTCTAAGGTAGGCTCTGCTGTTACACACACCTTGCACCCTTCATAAAGTGCAGAAGTCTACCCCATTTCATCTAGATGTGTCAGCGGTCAGAGGCATTTGCTGCACAACCAGCTCTGAGCAAACACAGTGATGCCAAGTTTAGCTGGGCAGCAGTCCAGCAACTTGAAAAATGCTGCTTAAAGAGTAACAATGATTTTCACAATACCCTCCACGAATAAATATGGAAAACTATTAAAAACATTTGCAAGGTTTATCTGCTAAACTTAACACGCGTGGTCTGTTCTGGCTGCCAGGAACCCAGGATCCTTTATCAGAAAAGCTTTGAAAACACTGTGCTAGCCAGTCCAAGCTCAGTTTCTAAAGATCAAAGTACAGAGCATTTCCAGTGATGCAGGTGTTGCATAGTTACACAGAACGTTGTGGAGTTTCAGACAAGAACACTACATCTTCCTACATATCACAGACAACTCACATGATTTAAATACATGTTTATTCTAAAGGTGGCTCACTTCTTGGTGCTACAAGATCCCTATTCAAATCCTTCCACGACTTGCAGTCACAAGAAACACTACCTACTAAGGACCTCCAGAGGGAAGAAGAGCAGTGAGAACAGTTTACAGGCTCCTGAAAGTTTCTCCACTTCATTACAGGTTGCTATCGGGCAAGCCTGGTCATGCCACGGGCTAGAGAAGGTGCCAGGGCAGCCCAGGGAGTGAAACCCTGCTGCCCTGCTTCCTACCACAGCTGAGGCGTTGTGTTTCAGTCCGCTCTCTCTCTTTGTGTTTTCAGTGTGTCAATAGTCACCAGCAGCACAATCCTTTTCAGAGCAAATGAATCAAGCTCAGGAGCTAAGCAACTCTTCAAAACCCACAGGCAGCCCAACCCCATCTACTGTTTTTAGTAAAAAAAACAGAACAATAGCCAAAAAAATTGATCCAAATTTCCAGAAACTGAACTATAAGATGCTTCAGGAATAGACAACTCGCCAGCACACCCAAGAGCCCTGGTAATGTCCCTTCCCTTATTACTGCATACACTCATAACTTTTTAAAATTTAAAGTTGAGGAGCCCTCAACTATAACTCTTTGTTTGAGTTCAGAAGGACAAGCTTTGCACAACTGAATGTTTACCTTAGCCTGTGAAAAATATCAGCAGAATAGTGACAATGTTAACAGCATCCAGAATAATACCAAGCACATGCTTTCACATTTTAGGGCCAACATGCACAGATGCTGTAGACAAAGATGAACTGGTTGTATTTACTGTAGCATCATCCAGAGTTCTCTCTTGGAATGAAATAATCCAGAGCAGAGAGTCATAAAGATTGACTTATGCCAGAACTACTGGTCTTTCAGTAGAAAAAAAACGCAGACAGATGAGGTTTTAATCTGCCACCAGGTTGTTTTCAAAGGGACAGAACTGCTTTCCGAGGGAGAAAAACGCACTGCATGTGACATACAACTACTAATGAATAAAAAACGCAAGGACTCAGGAACAAGGACGCCAATTACACACCGGAAGAACCCAGCCACAAATTACAACCTTCGCCCCACGAAGGACGGGGAGAGCTCAGAAGAACCACAGGTTCGCAGGGCAAACAAACCGGCTCCACCAGCCCTTCCCAGAGACGTGCCCCGTGATGGAGGCGGCTGGAAACGGAGCAGCAGGCGGGCAGGGGCACCGAGCCCGGGAGCCCGAGCGGTGCGGGAGGAACCGGGCAGGGCCCGCCGCGCCCTTGGCCCCTTCCCCTCAGCGCCCCTTCCTTCCTTCCTTCCCCTC